AATGCACTCAGTTTACTTTTTACTCACTGTGAGCATCATTCGTTATTCTCCCCCAGTAATTAAGGTTAGGATATGTATTTTTTATTCCAATCCATTCTTCTTTGGCAACATTTAAATAACCTTTATCAGATTTGATGGTTTTGTTACAGACTTTTCAAAAAAGCGTTTTGCTTTTCTTTCACAAATGTGGGGATTCAATTGTGTTAAAGTGCACAAAACAGTGATGTCATGTTTTGTGACGAGGACCCAGGCACAGAGATACTTGATGAATTTAAGAATCTTATGATTTAATAAAGAAATGTGCAGACTTGCACAGAGAGGTAAAATTATGATGACTGATAATGGAGATGAAGACAACAGACAATGAGGACAGGGAGGAACAGGGGTTTAAATGCACCAAAGAGACAGTCAGAGGGAACACAGGACAACGGGAGACATTTAAGGATGCAGGGACTGACAGAGAAGGGGAAGAAGTCTCATCGCGACGAGTAAAGTTTACCGTGCCTGGATGGGCAGCTCTCTGCGTGCTCAGCACCCCCAAAGCTCTGATCCTAGAATCGCCCCTGCCAACTGTTTAGCTTTATTTTTGTTTGTCTTTTTGTTTGTTTTTTTGTCTTGCTGAGAAAGAGGACTTTCAGACAGAGTTTACAGAGGATTCACTCAAGATAATCATGCAAACATTGCCAAAATTATGTAATGGGTGTTAAACAGTCTTGCATTCTAAACTAATTTAAATGCCATCCAGTCCTAGTGTTTACTTCGGAATCTACCACTCATCTTTGGAGATTAGTTTGTTCAAATGATTACCACTGCTATTTGCTACTGCTGTTGCTTCAAATAGTGAATATTGTATTTTCACCAGTGTTATCAAAAGGTAACACTATTTTCTTGAAACACCTAAGCCCGAGTCTGTAGAGGGTTCCTGAACTGTGGAAGACTTCCTGTGTGGTTACGGTGCCAGATATCACACACTCCAGGGAGCCCAACCACTTCAGGCCTGTGGCCTGACGAAGACCATGGAAAGGCTCATCCTGCACCACATTGGTGAGCTCAGCGATGGACCCCCTGCAGTTCGCCTACCGGTTTGGAATCGGTGTGAATGAAACGGTCACCTACCTGTTACACCGATCCCTCTCTCACCTAGAGCAGGCAGGGAGCACTGTGAAGATCATGTTTTTTGACTTCTCCAGTGTTTTCTACAGCATCCAGCCTGCACTACTGAGAATCCCCCGGCAGCCTACACCTATTACAGCATAACTAAGGGAGAATTCAGGGTCACCTGGTCCAGCCCTAACTATATGCTTTAGCAAAAAGGAAAGTTTGAAGCCTAATCTTAAAAGTAGAGATAGTGTCTGTCTCCCGAATCCAAACTGGAAGCTGGTTCCACAGAAGAGGGGCCTGAAAACTGAAGGCTCTCCCTCCCATTCTACTTTTAAATACTCTAGGAACAACAAGTAAGCTGCAGTGTGAGAGCGAAGTGCTCTAATAGGGTGATATGGTATGGTACTACAAGGTCATTAAGATAAGATGGGACCTGATTATTTAAGACCTTGTATGTGAAGAACAGGAAGGTCCGACCAAAATTAACAGATTTTATGGTGTTTCTCATCAACAATGCTCCATCTGGTGGCAGAAGATGCATAACATCTAGGACACAACTACTTATAGGCATGGGTATGAATTAAAATAATTAGAATAAACTACTAGTGTCTCTGGTACCGACTAGTGACAATGGCAATAATTTGTTGACTTGTCGCCAAATCCTTAAAAAAAATAATTGTTTAATGAACTGAAATATTAATGTGTGACAAATATGCAAAAAAGAAATTAGAAAGGGGGCATATACTTAATGGCACTGTAAATATTTCTTGCATTTAAAACCCAGTGTCAGATGATTTGTGTGGTTATAATAGTAAGGTTAGCTGTCATAAGCCGTCTTATGCCATGAAATAGCTTCTCCCACAATGTTCTCTGCGGCTGCTGCCTATACACCGAATGCTGAGCTTTTCAGTGCTGCCATCTCTTTCAGAATCACAATATTTTAAAAGAGCTGTGGCACTGCTGGAAAGTCTTTTAAGATACCAGAGCAATGTGGGTGGTAGACAGTGGGTTTAAACCTACATGGTCTTTACAAACATACAAGAAAGACAGGGGGCCTGAGCAGGAATAAATTTAGACGTCCCCTCCTTTCTGAAGAAATCGAGCTCTTAGGATAAAAGGCATAGTGAAGGAAGATAGAGAAAAGAAGTATTACGAGCGCCTCCCATCAGCCATCTGGTGTTCCTACAGTCTACCAGTGCATTCCAAGGAGTACTAAAATGGGAAACACCGGGTAGAAGAATGAATGATTTCTATGAAGGAGGCCCAGAGATACTGTCAAACCTCTCCATGCTGACCCTGTGCTTTTCACTGGATATACAAATGACAGGGATGTCCTCTCCATCTGAACAGTCCCCTGGAGGGGCCCTCCTCTCTTCTTCCTAAGTGTTATTGAACATGCAGACAGAGTTGAGGGAAGGCAGCTCCACAGATGGAGAGAGACACGGCAGAGCTCCGGAACAAGATATGGAGAAAGAAAAGCTATTATGGTGCACACAAAAAAGATACAGGAAGAAGGAGCTTTTTAGACTGAAAATACAAGAGTGGGCAGCGGGCACACGCCATTCACCAAACTGACCTGACTTTCTTCCCCACTGCCATGACATGTACACAACAGGTAGAGTATATGCAGGTCAGGCAAGTAGCTTTACCATATTGTGGAGTGTTTACTGCTCAAAACACTCTGAAGAACTAGCACACTTAACTTCAACCCCCCTTGAGAACCTAGTATAATATAAGTAGTGAATGTTGGGTTTCAGGATTATATTATACAACTAATTTTCTTTGTGAGAAAATGTAAAGTCTGAAACAACATTGATCTGCTGTAGAACATGACTGATGGGGATTCATGAATCAAAAAGGGTCAGTAAGTATGAAAAAATACTGCCTTCATAAATATTATTTTGGACCATCAGCCAAACAAATCATTCTGCAGGGTTGAAGCACTGAATGAAACATGTGCAAACATCCACTATTAAAGCTGACCTATTCTGTTTGTTATTGTCTTCACAGTTCACTTCAAAACAATCTTCATTTTTCTTGTTTTCCAGCCAGTGCCTGAAACAAGCCCTTTTATCTCCCTTCCCTCTTTATTTAGGTTTTTTGCTTATTTGTTGCCCCAAAGGAGTAGCCAGCTCAGAGGCAGAGCTCTATGCTCGAGACGATCATATGATGGCTGTTTCTCACCAGGATCCTTCTTGGTGCCTGAGTCTCCTGCTCATTTGGAGTTGTTCTGTGTGGAGTTTGAACATTGGTCCCATGGTCCAATGTTGGTTTTCTCCCACAGGAAATACATCAATGACATTCATGTTAGGTAACTGGTGTTAAATTGGTGATGACGTTTTTTCAGCTTTTACAATCAGAGTTATATGTGATGCTGTACCAAACACATTTTGCTTTTCCAAAATAAGCTGTATAAAGTGTCTGTAGGCTCCTCTTGTTCATGTTTTTCTTTTGTCTGTTTATTTATTCAAACACACACACACACACACAGGCCATTCACTCACGCACTCACACATGCCCACCCACTAATAACACACAGAAAAGACCCCCCCCATTAAGGCGAGCAGACACCCCCGAAACCATTAGCTAACCAGGGTGCAGCCAGACCAGCCCCTGAACCACCAGTGGATCACTGCCCTAAAAAGAGTGTGTGAAACAGTAGTTCACCATAAGAGATGAGGTTCCTCATGCTAAGCACCTTAGCTAACATGTGTGATGTAGAGAAGATGAAGTGTGAAAAACCTGTATGTTAGCAAAGACAGCCCTGACAGTGATGGAGCGAGGAGGGCAGCTCCTACCATCTCAGGCTAAAGTTGACCTCGTGCGGGCTGATCCATCACTCTCAGAAAAGCATGTGTAAGAAATTGTTTGGCTCAATGAATTCACTAAGTTTAATCAGCTGTTTTACAAAGACTACACCTTCATTTCTCATTGATATGTTTAATCCTCCAGTAGATATTGAAAGTTACACACTGTTCAACCATGACCAACTGTTTTTGTTTTTAGAGATATGTGATCATCATAGGACAGTGACTACAAATATACTTGTAGAATATGATTCTGGACATTAAACAGATAACGAAATAAGCTCAACCTTAAACTTTTGCATCAGTAATAATAATCAAGTTAACACTAATTGTAATCATTTTGTGCAGCTTCTGTAACACTTCTGGAGTCGTTACAGTATACTAGGACCAGTTAGGTTCGACTACTAGAGCAGTAATGAGCGTAGCATGTAATAAAGACCACAGACCAGTAAATACGTTTAAATTGCCGGCTTATTATTGTGTGAAGACAGAGAATAGACAGTTATAGACACAATACATAAAACATTCAACATCATACATTTAAGAAAACAAGGTTTTCTTTCCCCCCTTTTAGTTCAGTATGTTCTTTTAGTTCATCCTATTTATCTCAAAACCTTTTATTTGGCTTTAGAAGGATGTTATTTTCAACCTAGGTTATTGTCTTATTTATTTCAAGTTCTAAGTTCAAGTTTATCCTTTGATCTATTTGCATTAACACTGTGTTATTTTAAATCAAGTTCAGTTCTTTAGGCCCAAGGTTTAATTTAATCTTGGTCTAGGTTCACCTTTAAATTCTCAACCAGTTCTTATTTTGTTTTAACCCAACAAAATTATTTACATTTCCATTAACACCATTACAGCATTAAAATGTAAGGTTGACCAAAATAAATTACAAAAATAAATAAATAAATGTAAAACTGAAAACGATTCAGCAAAAGGCTGAATAAATCCCTTAAACAAACAAATAAACAAAAGAAAGTTGTCTCTGTGTCCTTTAACTATTAATCCTGGAATTACTCCGAATGATTATCCAGTGCTTTGAAAGTCCGCTGTTCTTTTGCAGAGGTGTATGGATTAATCCTACCAGTTTTATCAGCGAAAGAGCTCAACGTCCAGCAGGGGGCGTTTTCCTTTTCCTGCTTGGTACAGTTCAATGGGTCCGTGGGTGGCTCGCCATCTTGTTTCTCGCTCAGCGAATCAAACTCCGATTCTAGCTCGGCATTTCCCGATCCAAACCTTAATGGCCTACCATAACAACAAAATAAAGTGCATAAACATTCGAAAATAACACACGGGTAGCCCTTAAATAACAGTAAAAGTCCGTTTTTTCCAGCTTATTTAGACGTAAATGAGGTGACGCCAATATGGCGCGCTGAAACACCGTCAAAGGCCTTTGAAGTACAGCCTGTGTGTCGGTTAAGCACGAATCCACCGTTTTTAACATAAAACAACATAAATCTGCTACCTTGGCTCTCCATTTGCATGAAATGAGCAATATAATACAACAAAACATTTCTTGCATGAAATAAAATACAATTTCTGAACTCACCAAGTCCCGTTCGGTTATGTTCACAACGTCACCAAGGCAAGGACAGGTCGGAAAAATACATCAACCACCAAGTCCCGTTTGGTTATGTTCACAACGTCACCAAGGCAAGGACAGGTCGGAAAAACAAAAATACATTCTCCAGAGCACAAAAATGGCTTTAAGTAGATTTCTGGCTTGTTTTTACTATTTTTTCACTCATTTAAGCAGCGCTCTGCAAGGACTGTCTGCATTTCTCTCTCTCTAGCATCAAAAAAGAAGGAACAACCCGATTGGGTGTGGCTATCACAGGAGTCACGCTGCAGCGTGCCCTTTCACAATAAGAGTCTCAACACATATTTTAACCATTTTACCTGGATGAACATAAAACACCATGAATTAGCAAGTTCTGTACCCTTTTAACATGTTTTTAAACACAAATGAAATCCTATAACATGAATTATATCATTGCTGATGTTTTTAATGAATTTTCTAACCATTATGATCTATTTATTGCCTATTTATCACCTGTAATATATTTCTTATGACTGTTTTTACTAACAGGCTTTTATTTGTTGTTAGCTATGTTAACCAGGGTTACAATTACATATTTTGCTTTTGATACTTTTCCACAGTTTTCCAATAACACAGTTTAATGTGTAGTGATGTGTTTTCATAGTGTTTTGGAAAAGACGCAGTGAAACTTAATGGCTCCATTTCCCACTGTAGAAAAGTGAAATCAGAATTTCCTGCCTATGCTGCCTGCCATCTTGGATTTTTGAAGCCAGAGTCTGCGCAGTAGTGATTGAGGTTGAGTCGTTGTGTTAACCTGTGTTGATGATTTTACTGCCGGTGATGGCTCACTAAATAAAGTTAAATACAATCATGTTGCTATATTTTGAAGGGCACACATCTTAACTGTTCATCATCACATCTAACATCATAACATTCATGCCTTGGCTAGATTAGCAGTGACCATACACAAGGTTGAAGTTAGCTAGTAGGCATTTCTACCCAGCTTTGTTGCACTCAATGAATTTCAATTTTTAGTCAAGTAAGGGACGCCATCAGGGCCAAGCTGTGTCAGGATTCCTGGGTCAAGTGGTTTTTAGAAGCTTCCTCTTTATCACAGACGTCCTGTGCCAGATATTCAGCTGATCCAATGAGGGAGACGACATAGTAGAAACATTCGAAGTTTATTGCAAGGCTCAACAAGGACTCACGATTTTTACCAATATCTCCATCAGACTTCTCCTGTCAGCCCACGGCAGAATATGGACAAACCCAGCACTTTATGAAGAGTGTAATCAATTAAAGTACAAACGCTCTGGACTTTTACGAAATTATGTCATATTCAGTCCCATAGAAAACAATTTGTTTAAAATGTATATTACTCTCTCCGGTTACTCTGAATGCCACTTAATAACTTTTTAGTAAATAACACACAATCTTAGCAAAGCACTGTATAAACAAAACCCAGATGAAAGTTTGTAGCTCGACATGTAAGTGAAAGTGACACGTCAGTATTACAGGTTTTTCTGAATGCTTAAACCCAAACTGTGATTCTTATAGCACAATTTCTAAAACTATTAATACTTATGGCAAAACCACTCACTGAGTTTGCAAAACTAAAAGCACAAACACTGCTTTGCACTCAGTTTGCCATTTTGTAACACACACTTTGCAAAACTGTAATAATAATAAGAAGAAGAAACTTTATTTATAAAGCACACTTAAAAAACAAGGGTATGCCAAGGTGCTTAACAAGTAACATAGAGAATAAAAGGAAGATAACAGAAATAGGACCAAAGCAAGTACTAGGTATGCAAGCAGATTGTCTGGACGTCTCTAAAGAAGTCCAGACGCTTTTCTTTGCAAGCTCCTTTGACTACGATGACCTGGATGACTGAGAACCTTCACAGACATATGCAAGCAGATAACTGTCACTGATAAATAGGAAAGCAACAGATACAGAACAAACAAGGAATTTAATGAGCATAAAAGTGCATAATATAAAATCATAAAAGAAGTGTTAACTAGAGGGAAAGGCAAGATTGAATAAGTGGGTTTTTAGTCGTGATTTAAACAGTGCAGCAGAATCAGATGCGCGGATATCAAGAGGAAGGGTATTCCACAGTACCAGGGCAGCCAGAGCAAACGCATGGTCACCCCGAGACTTCAGATCTAAGTGTTCTAGCAGGAGTGTGTGGCTTGAGAAGTTCACTAAGATAACTCGGCGCTAATTTATTAATAGTTTTGAATGTAAGGAGTAATATTTTAAATTGAATATGGCACTTTATGGGCAGCCAGTGCAAGCCAGCTAGAACAAGAGTAATAGGGCAAAATTTCCTGGTACCAGTCAAGAGGCGGGCCGCAGCATTTTGGACTGTTTGCAGTCTAAGAAGAAGAGAAGAGGGAAGACCGTAGTACAAGGAATTACAATAATCCAACCTGGAGGTCTCAAAAGCGTGAATAAGCTTTTCCAGGTCCTCATGTGGAACATAATGCCTAGGCTTAGAGATAAGGCGCAGTTGGTGGAAGCTAGATCTCACTACAGCAGACACTTGCTTATCGAGTTTGAACGAGCTATCCAGCAGTACACCCAAGTCACTGACATAGTCACAGGAAGAGTTAGCAAAGGGACCCAGGGCAGCACAAAGTTGGGCACGAGGGATTTTACTGTTGAACACCACAATCGCAGTCTTCTTATAGTTTAAAATGAGAGAATTACTCAGGAACCATTCTTTGACCTCCCGCATGCATTCTTGAAAGTAGTGCAGGGACACAGCAAGGTCGTCAGCAAGTTCAAAATAGATCTGTATGTCATCAGCAATATTGTTCATGTCCAAGTACGCCTCGAGCTGGGAAAGAACTAGTCTCTCCAGGATCTTGGACAAGAACGAAAGCTTAGAGATCAGTCTGTAGTTTGAAAGGTCATAACAGTCAGAGTTTCTTTTTTTAAGAATCGGGTGGACTACAGCATGTTTAAAAGCCAAAGGAACACAGCCTGAGAGCAAGGAAAAGTTCATAAGAAATAGGATTCAATTACATCAAAACAGTCCTTAGCTATGCGAAATGGAAGAATGTCAAGCACAGTATTGGTGTTATTCATTTGATCAACTAGCCACTTAAGAGACAAAAGTGACACAGGCTCAAACTGGTGGAAAGTTGAAATGCACTCAGGAATGGGAAGAGGACATAAAACAGGGGGAAGGGAGGACTTAAGAGATGTGATCTTATCTAAAAAGTGAATTTGAAATCGTTCACAAAGAGCCTGAGAATAAATTAAAGGCATCTCTGGGGAAGGGTTAACCACTGAGTTAAAATTTTTAAATAAGGTGCGGGGGGTATGGCCATTGGCCAGGATGATTTTGGACAAGAAGGACGCTTTGGCCATTTTAGCAGCACTTTGGAATTTTAAGCGGCTAGTCCGTAGCATGTCGAGAGAAACCTGAAGTTTATCTTTTTTCCAACTTCTCTCAGCGCGCCGACACACACGACGTAGAGCGCTCGTAGTGTCATTAAGCCAACACCGAGAGTAGGTTCTGGGGCGCTTCATTTTAATAGGGGCAACAGTATCAAGGATAGAAGAAAATAACGATAACAAGGTATTAGCACAGTCATCAACCGAGCGGAAAGAACAACAGTCGGGAGTGACAGATGCAGAATCGAAGGAAGACAGAGAAGTTTGACACCGCTTCAGCGTTAATTACACGTAGCGGGCAAAGGGGAGCCGCAGGATATAGTTCATTAGTGCATAAGCCAGTATCAAATATAACTGGGACATTATCCGAGATCCCAGCATCACTTATAACCTTGATACAAATGTCCAGACCATGTGAAAAAACCAAGTCCAAAGTATGTCCGTTAACATGCGTTAGGTCATTAACCCACTGGGCCAGGTTAAAAGAGTCAGTTAAAGCAAGGAAGTCTTTAGCAAATGGGTCATCCTTACAGCAAGTGTGTATGTTAAAATCACCAACAATGAGAACACAACCATACTTAAAAACAACGGAGCCTAGGAGATCAGCAAAGTCTGTGATAAAATATTTGCTATATTTAGGCGGTCGGTAAATCACCATGCAGAGTGTGGTCATGGATGCAGTCATCTCCAATAACTGGACTTCAAAATTAGAGTAGGTAGGTGAGGGTAGCTGCCGAACTGCATATGATTTTTTAAAAACCGAGGCTACGCCGCCACCCCTACCAGTAAGCCTTTGTGAGCTAAAAGCGACACAGTCCAATGGAAGAAGTTCGGTAAAAGGGATAAACTGCCCAGGACAAATCCAGGTTTCAGTCAGGAATAAAGCATCAAGCCGATTATTGGAGAGGAAGTCATTTAAGAGAAAAGTCTTATTGACCAGCGACCTGACATTAAGCAATGCCATCCGTATCCTAGGGGCTAAATCGCCACGTGTGGTGCGTCGTAGGACACTTAGGTTGCTTCGGCAAACGCCGCGTCGGAGCGATGTTATCCAAACCCGAGCAGGAAAACATGCCACAGGAAGGGCAGGGTAGACTTCGTGGTCAGCCGAGCAGATCCAACGGTGGGTGAGCAACTTAGCATCAGAGCACTCCTGGGAAGGAGGGAAAAAAGATAAAATATCCAGGCTGGCATGTGGGTAGCCTGTGGCTCTGGCTTTAAAGTAGACCCTGAGGCGAATGCAACGGCCACTCCTTCTACCGCGTTTCCTGTAGCGTTTCTTGTGTAGATTAGGAATAGGGTAGGTGGAAGAAGCCGGTCGGAGGGTCCAGTTGGGGCGGGGTGGCGTCGCCCAGGTTCCAGCAAGGATCAGCCTGAGAGGAATGGGAGAGTCTTAGATTTAAAAGTGTTTGCCTATCGTATGTAATCAGTGCACAGCCATTAGATGAGCATACAACTAAAAGGATAAAAAGATACAATGCCAAGGTCCATAAAAGAGCGTAGAGGGGGTAAAAAGCAGCAAAACAGATACAGCCGAGGACGGCAAGCCACGTACACCGGCGCTATCTGTCCCTCACTGTACCAAACTGTAGGTACAATCCACTGCACAGCACTCTTTTTGCGGAACTGTAAACACAACTCACTGCTTTACACTCAATTTCCAAATGATCAACACACTCCTAGCAAGACTATACACATTTATGGCTATTATTTACACTATTTTGCCAACTGTCTGGCACACTGTCACATGTGAAAACTGTTTTAGATAATTAGTTCAATTTGCAATCAGCCTAAGCACTATAAATAAG